CTTGCGTGCTGCCGAATCAATATTATCCCTGACGACGGGCAACAGCCAAATATGCGACCACAAGTTTTTCAGATGTTCAATGAAAATGGGGGAAAAAAAGGAAGGAAAGGGTTTTATCTTTCCCTTTCCAATAGAATGCTTGCCTATTTTCTACAAATCTACATTATGCAAGAATGTAAGCGAAAAATCTATATATATGCATGCGTTTATGCAAACACGATTTAAGGCTCATTCATTTACAATCTCAGATTGTGACGTTAAAAGCGAGAAATACACAATAAAAATTCTTGCAAAATAGATTTAAATAGAAATATTTTTCAATAAAACAATATTTGCAATAGAATAAATTTGTAAAATATACTGAAAACTGTCTTCTTAATTGTTTTGAGAAAGAATTAAGTTGTATTTATTTTTATATATTATTAATAATTTGAGACAGCTGTTTTATTATAGCTATGAATACAGTTTATTTCGCTTTTGATTTCATTAAAGTATAATAATTATTTCCAAATATGTATTGGTTATTTATTAATTAACAAAATAAGAGGAGAGTTTTTGGTGTATATAGATATTTTCAAGTCGGTGTTATCGATTGTAAGTATTGCTTTATTGAAATATATTTCCATCCTAATATCTATATTTTGCAAGAATTTTTATTGTGTATCTTTTCACTTCTAATGTTATAACCTATAATAATAATTATAAATAAACAAGAAATCTTAGAAGAAAAAAATATATAACAAAAGAAACAATAAAATTAATCTTAAACAATGTCCTTGCAAAATAGAGCATTAAAAAATATGTTTCACAATAACATTGATTGTTTTTCTCCATTTTTCTATTTTTCATTCAATCTGCTTTGCTTGATTTTTATTTAAATATTATTGTTATATTTATTATTAACAATGTAAATTATATTTATTTTGAAAAGAAATAAATTCTGGTATTATTTATGGTATTAAATCAGGATTCGAAGGATACATATTGATGACATCTAGAATTGTATATCGAATATAACATATTAACGATATCGAATATATATCGTTAACATACATATATATGTGGTATTTATGCATTATTGTGTATATCATACATTATATTATATATATCATAATATATATTAGAAGTTTCATGAAATTAATGATTTAAAAAAAATAGTAGTAACGCTGCACATTATTGATCTCATATGGTTTCTTCCAATTGAGTTTGGAAGATTCTCGCTTCATTTAGTATTTTTAAATTTTCATAATCTATCATTTCATCGGATTTGCATGACAAGTATATTATTTCTTTTTAAATAATGATAGTACGTTCTCTACTACAGAAGAAAACTCTTTAGATAACGCTATCTATCCACGTTAATTAAATAATTATTTCATTTTTTATCTTCCTACATTATGTATTATCTTATCATAGTTCGTCCTATATTCCTGCATTTGTCTCTATAAAATACATTATCAACATAAAAATTTTTTATTAGTTTTCAGAAACTAAAAACTTTGACACGTTTTAAGTTTTTAAATAAAAAAAATTTATATATAAATAACCACATTTGGAGAAATACATATATGTGTAATTTATGTGTACATATATCGAGTTTTGATATTCATATGTGTAAATATGAAATTACGAACTCTGAATTAAATCCAGTTATCAATATCTTCTAATTATTTATTGAATTAATATATACACACATGATCAATATGTATACATATATGTTATGTGGAATGAGTCATGACAAGTTGTTAGGAAGATAATGCCTCTCTCTATCAACTTCTTCCCGGGAAGCGTTGTGTCCCCTGACCTCCTCTTACTGCTTCTCGGATGGGATCTCATTCTTCCTTATCGTATCACAGAGCGGATATGCCATGGAGTACTATACAAGTTCATTATGAGAAGAAGAAATGATTACGTAACGACGCAGTTACGACCTCGGGTAGCGAATGCTGCTGCAGAGAATAAATCACATTAATTATTATTTTTCGAAAAGGCTCGAGGAGGCTTAGTCTTGCCTCGAGTCTCAATAAGGAGTGTTTCATTTAGTAAATCGCTTTTTCCAAGCATTTTCTTCGGTATTATGCTGTTACTTACACCTTTATCCACAAGGTGAGTGCTAACAAATTATTAGATTCACTCGCGATACGAATCAATTGTTCAACCAAAAATGGCGCGCAAAATTTGCGTTGAATTGATTTATGGTGACTGGCCTTCAACTCTGTAATGATATTATGGCTCGTGTCAATGCACCTTTGAAGAGTTAGAAAACGAGATATGACAAGACAAAAAAGATATGTGAAACAATTGTACACGGAAAGAACTTTTGCTGGAAAATTTAAAAATTCTGCTAGATACTTACATCTCTGAAAATAATTTTATTGGAAATTCAAAAATGATTGATTGATGAGCATTGTTTTGGTATTCACTAATCAATTTGATTTTTCAGCAAAATTATTTTCAGATCTGTATTTAGTGAAATTTTTGTATCTTTCAGCAAAATCATTCTTTTTGTGTATAAATATGTATTATTTTTGATCCGCATTTATACCTCACTTTTACCGACAAATGCGCATTTAGCATATAGTTATATTACATATACTACTATAGAATCTCAGAATAATACGACCTATATTTACACGGAAATAACGATTTTGCTGATTGTGAGTTACATGTATACAGATCTGAAAATACCTTTGTTAGACTATTAAAATAATTATGTAGGATGTTAAAACTGGAATGTCAAAACTTCTTGCAACATTGTTTATTATGTTTGAACGTTCTATAAAATTATTTTCAGATCTGTATCACATAGCTAAATTTTTAGATACTTCAACAAAATCATTCTTTCTGTATAATTACTATATATATATTTACACACACACACACACACACACACACAATATAATAAATTAATTTTGTACATAAATATATCACATATTCGCAAATAAATATATATACAGGATGTTCTCAGATTTACAATATAAACTTTAATACTACGTTCCATGAACTGAAATAAGAAAAAAAAATTAAATAACCCATACAATAAAAGTATTCGAAATATATCATACCGATATCTTAAAGCTATCACATATCCCAAATGTATCTTTAGGCTATCCCTACAATATTATCAATAGAAAGGGCCAGTGAACCTTGCACGGAATTTAGTGCCAGTTATAATGTAATATATTTAACATAAAATTTATTTACAAACCCAAACGTTTTGGTTCCGCATTGAATCATCTTCAATACAAAAAGTCATCAGTAAATTACATAAGAGATCGCTCGTTATAATATAATCCGGTTAAGTCGATGAACTTGCGCGTAAATTTTGTCCGTGTATCTCATAAATGGAAATGTTAAGGATGGAATCGTTTATTGTAAATAATTAGGCTATGAAAAAAATGAAGATATAAGGCATCATACTACGATCAAAACAAATAAATTGAACTGAGTGTAAAGACAAGTGTCTTAAGTCTCTGTATTGAAACGTTAGAATCTGTCCTGAATTTAAAGAGTCGAATCGGAGTAGCAAACTTATTAAACATGTCGGCTGGAATGATTACAGGGAATCTTTTAAACACTAATTAAGGAAAGTTAAAAAACAAAACTGAGTATAAAAAATGTACCTTGAGTTAATGTATAAAACACACGAACAAAATTTACGCACAAGTTCATCGATTTAACCAGATTATAATACCTATAGCGAGCGATCTTCATGTAATTTATTGATGACTTTTTGTGTTTACGCAGGGCCGCTCACTGGTCCTTTCTATTAATACTTATTTAATTTTTTATTATATAAGCTATTAGGATATTTGTTAATTTTTAAGAAAAAAATGTTGTAAAAACATAAGTCTTAAAACGTTATTAAAAATTATGCAGCTACAGCAAAAATATGAAATCTGTAAGAAACAATTTTTTACTTAAGTTTACATTCAGACGGTATTTTAATATGCCGTCCGACAATATTAAAATACAAGTATCGATGTAAATTAAATTTATTGCTGACAAGGTTGTCATTTACAAGAAGCGGCGTTTTCAATTTTTGTAACAATCATGTATAACCGTGTGAAAATTTATATGTTGTTGAAGAAACAGTTTTTCAACGTCAATTCAATTGTAATGTCTGAATGGGCACGTATAAATTTATTAGAAAAAATGTTTCTTGCAGATTTCAGATTGTTGCTATAACTTTTTAATAAAACATTTTAGGATCTACGTCTATATACATTTTTTTTTATTTCAACTCATAGAACGTGCAGTTAAAGTTTGTACGGGAAATGTGGAGACGTCCTGTATAATTCTATCACTTAAATTTTTATGTGTTTTATACATATATTATCTTATCGGTATCTTCTCGTATTAACGATTTTCAGCAGCCATTTTGTAGGCTGTAATCTCTGTAAATATGAGTCTTTTACCCCAAATTCTATCGAGAAGTTTAACTCGTGGAAGGAAGAGGGTGCGACCGTGTTTCTCACTCGAGAATCGCGCCGGCATAACTGCGTACTTTATGAGGGTATTAGGTAGGTCAGTCAGAGAGTCGTAGTTCATTTCCGAAAGCCGATCTTTAGCTATTTTCGTGGGTCCCCCGGGTTTATCTAGGTCACGGGCACTCGCGGAGAAAAAGAGCCCGTTCTTTCTTCCGAGAGCCCCAACGCGCGGATGTCGACGGCTCGAAATTCGGTTCGAGTATATACGCCAGACAGAAAACGAGAGAACGCGACGTCGACGGGTGCTCGAGAGAGAGAGAATGCGATGTAGACAAGCGATCGCGAGAGAAAGATAGAGAGAGAGAGAATGCTTTTTTTTAAACATTTCTCGATTCGCGGAGAGAGAAGCGTAGAGCAGGAACGTCTAATATTCCTTCTTTTTTTTATCCCACCGTGGTAAAAGCGGCGGGGCATACACCAGGCGTCTGCGCGTCGCGCGTGCCGCGCTATGTATAGACGGTGATACGTCTGGGGCATCGGTTCCTTCGTGCGAATTATATGTATGCTCATTGCAGGGCCGGTCATCGGCCAAAGCGCACGTCGCTGCTCTCACGGCGCGGGAACGTGCGAAAAACTATCATATCGGGTCGAGCCGAGTCACGAGGAGTGCGTGTCCGGGGATGAAGAAATAATAATCCGTAGGAGAGAATCCGCGTCTCTCTGGTCTCCTCGGTGGTGTGTTTGTACACTTTGCGGTGAAAGCTCGAGGATTACGCGACTCGAGATTGAAATCGGGATTGACTTCACCGTAACGCGTAGCGCGATTGCAGTGAAAGATCTTATTTGAAACTTAATGAATTAAAAATGAAAGGTCTTCTTTTATTTTAATCAAGTGCGCGCGCGCGCACGCGTGTGTGTGAAAAATCGAATACGTTAAACGTCCGATGGAGAGGTGAAGTTTATCAGCTGTTGATCGGTTGCCAAATAGCGTTAAATTTAGACGTGTCTTTAAATGAGTCAGTGCAACTGCAGGGAGGCATTGCAACTGGCAGTGGTTTAACGAAGAGCAAGGTAATTAATCCACATATTATAAATGTGTATGTATTATAAAAAACGACGGAAGAACCATCTTCTCAAACAAACATCGTTAAATTTAATTTTCTAAGAGTCTAACACAAGAAGTTTAGTTGCCGCGAAGTTTGCTAAAGTTGTCAATAATGTAGCACAGTAATTCAAATATTATACTGAAAAGAAAGATTTAAGAAAGAAGTTGCATTATGGAATGTCTGATCTTTAAATTCTCCTTGAGCGCCGTCGGAATTTCTTGGTTGTTAAAATTAAGCACGGCAGAATCTCCACGCTCGCGATGATTCTGCAAAGCTGCTGGAAACAGCGCTATTTGTATTAATACGACCGCTGTAACTGATCGCCTCACCTTTGTTCGCAAACTAAAGTTAGAATTTTTATCTGTTTGAATGTTATTTTTGAGCTAAATGCTATGCTTGGAGGTCGCGAGAAATGCATACGTATTCGAATATATTATACACAGCGCGCTATCGCGTTTCCAATAATTTCCGCGAGTTCCTCGGTCGAAACGACTCTTGCGGTCACGATTTTCGACTCGCTACGGTTTTCTTGCGGCAGCTATCAGAGCAGCTTGGCGCTATCAGAGCAACCGTTTACCGGGCCTAAAATGACACACGCGCTCGTGTTTGTGCCCGCGCGGAAATATTGTAAATTTCGGCATACATGAAACGGCAGCGCGCTAAAAGCTCAGCGACAATACGAATAAACCGTTTGCTTTCGCGTGATTATCTTCATGGGCTGACGACCGAGAAAACACAGATCGTTTAATTGCAGATAATTATCCTTAAAGCCCATACGTTAATTATCCGCCGTAATTTCATTGTCTCGACACGTCGTTGGCCATAAACCGAATTATAAAAAAACTGTCAAGGAAACGAAACGATTAGAAGAGCAAAGGATTATAAAATTGAAGAGAAGGAATATAAAAAACGATTTAATATATTAACATTTAAGTTTATTGTACGAATTGTTTATTATTTTTATACACGTTAAATTAAAATTATAAATTTGTACTTAAGAATAGAGCTGGATTAAAAATATTTAAAATAAATCGTTGATTATTAATTGTGTACGGATATAAAAATATTGTCTTAAAGATATTGTGTAATTTGTAAGCGATGCGTTTTTCCACGTATCGTTAACGTATCGGATCGATAGGGATTGGTAAACTCGGAAGAAGAAAAGAATGTCGCGAAAAAAAAAAGATATTTTTTCGATTATCGATCCCTATCGATCCGATACGTTAACAATTCGCGGAAAAACGCATCGCTTACAAATTATACGATATTCCCAACGTGAAGTATATCGATTATTTTGCACTCTGAGGAATCAAAATGCGAATGATACTTTTCGAATTCTGAAAAACTGTTTTTTGTTTAATGGCCTTGAATTTTGATCCGAAAGTCTTTTTCACACGGAATAAAATTTTCCTTTACAAACGATTCTCTCTAACAGGCTTTAGATATTTGTAAATACACTTGCTCCTTAACAACGAAATTCACATAATATAAAAAAATTAACAATTTCAATTATTATTTGTTGTATAAAAAAATTAAGTGGGAGAATAAATTTATAAATTTTATAAATAGGCTGTACTATTTCTCAAATCGTTGGAACTCTTGAATTATGAACTTGCGTCACTCTTCGAGTGCGTCGAATATGTATTTTAATTCGTTACTTTGGCATTACATCGGAAAGGGTCTGCCTGTGTTTCGAGGTGACGGCATGAAATCTCGAATCGACACTGTCATAACGCAATGCAAATGGTTGTTCCGGTCGCGAAGACGTACATGACGGAACTCGGTGAAGCCTGCGCGGTGCTTGCGAAAGCGATAAAATCGTTACGTAGCTTTCCGATCTGCCCGACGACAGGGCATAAACCCTCTTTCCCTCCTCCGAGTCACCCTGCGAGTGAGGGCGAGTCACTCGGCAGAGAATGTAGATACCTGGCCCCAAACTGTACATGCACGAGACAGGGAGTATTGATCACGCCACCCGGAGCGGCCATCTTTAGCAGAAAGAGGAAATCATTCGCGAAATTGACGCGTACCTTTCACCTCGACGCGACGAACTGCACGCTAAAGTCCTCATGATTTTGTGTGTCGTAATAAAAACAAACAAGTTGACACAAATATTCTAAAGGAATACAAATGTTGAACTGATTCAAAAATTTGTAATAAGAATAAATAAACTTATACAAAAAATAACGCGTAATTTATCAATGGCTTTGTGCTTTAATTAAGTAACAAAATTGTAATTAAAAAAAAAATTTTTTTCTCTTATGTAAACTAATTTTAGAAATATGCTTTTACAAATTCTTTTTCTGAATGTACGTGTTGCTCGTTGATTATCATCTACAAAATAATTACATTAATAATTTAATATATTCATTTTTCTCTTTTTTTATTTATTCATTATGCATGCAAATAAAATTTTCGAAATATCGCTTATAGCTTTTTGGCTTTTATATCTCATTTAAATTACAATTTCATTATATTAATATATCTTTTCATCTAATTTCATTGAATAAGGATTTAACAAATTTTTCTATCTTAAATCTTTCATTTATTTGCTTCTTTTAATGTCTTGGATTTTGCGTTTTCATGAATCTAAAACAATTCGAATACGCCGATCTTTTTATCCAACTCCATTTAAGTATGACTTTAAAAACTCGAGAAATTAGCTGTTCTCGCGCGAGTGATTCTATTTTTTTCTAAACATCTTTTTCTGATATTCGAGACTGGCGTCGCGAACCAGTGTAAAATTGTCGCAAGCACAAAAATCGCACAAGACCGGCATAGTTCTAGAAAACTGACTCGAGTAACCCGACACGCGCTCGCGTGGATCGTGGTGTTTTCTCAGAGCGTCACGCACGATCTCCCGCTGAAAGGTGTGAGTCAGATTATGAAAATTTATCGAGCGCGTCGTTTATAAGCGGCTAAATGAACGCTTAAACGCTAACAACACACGTTTGAGGCAAATCGACTCGGACAGGAGCCGAGCCGTGGTGACTTAATATTTTATTGTATATAGAAGCGAGACCCGACCGTGTTTCTTGATCCGTCCGCCCGACGCAGAATGCACGCAATTCCTCTCCTCGTCGCACTCATTATCGCCGTAACTCCCGCGCACGGATGAATGAATCTTCGACGATAGCGAACGTAAATCTTTCCGAGAAGCGATCCATAATGCATCTCATGAATTCTTGTCACACACATCGATCGCGCATGCCGCGCGATTGTTGTCGGCAATATACGACGTATCGGCGACGTAACGCTTTAAAGAAGCCCCGGGGGGACAAGTGCAAAGCTTGTTTCACAATTTCCAATTTCCAATTTAATATCAAAATGTTTCGACATTTTAATAGACCGCAATATACATTGTTCATAATGAATGAAGAAACGAGATTTTTACAAATAATGATAAATTATTTGAAATACTAATTGAACTAAATAGTTGCTAAAATATCAAAATATTTTAATATTTCAACATAATTTTTTTTTATAATCCAACAAAATTTATTTTCAAATCTGTATTTAGTAAAATTTTAGATCTTTCAGCAAAATCGTTTTTTTTGTATATAAATATACAGTTATTAGGTAGATATATTAATTTCCTTTAGCATACATAAATTCAGGAAGGGAACTTGGTTTACAATAAATTCTACTACTACTAAAACTACACATTCACCCATACCACTAATTGCTTCCTATTCGTATATATAAAACACCTTTCCTTATCACATTGTCTTATACTTTCTTTACTTATCATTTCTTTACCTTTATACATTTGTACAGTTATAACTAATTATTATTATTAATATTACAGCAATAATAACTATAAGAAAAAAATGGAGCTTTTACACACAAAAAAAAACAATTTTGTTGTAAGGTCTAAAATGGTCTTTTGCTGGATACAGATCTAAAAATCAGTTTTGTTAGATCATTAAAATATATAATTTTATTTGAGGAACTAAAAACTGCTATAAAACATTTTGATATGCTATAGCAACCAGATTGAATTTTTAATAAAATTATTTTCAGATCTCCATTCAGAAAAATTTTTAGACGTATCTTCCAGCAAAATCGTTCTTTCCGTATTTTTTTTGTAACTATAGTCGCAAATATCAAATACTTTTCTTTCAATCACGGAAAGAACGATTTTGTTGAAAGGTCTAAAAATTTTGCTAAATACAGATCTGAAAATAATTTTTTGTTAAATCATCAAAATAATTTGTTGGAATGTTAAAACTGATAAGCTATAAAATGATTTGATATTCTACAATATAATCATTTTGACTTTTGCACAAAATTATTTTGATTATTGAACAAAAATTATTTTCAGATCTGGATTCAGCAAAATTGTTTTTTCCGTGATGTAGTCGGAAAAATATGATTCCTTTTCTTTTTTTTTGTTTTGTTTTGAAATATCTAACTCTTCGACCAATGTGAGAATAATATACTAGCGATCGCAATCGTATCCTTATTAATATCGAGCGGGTTATAATGCGGCTATCAGCCCGGTCGTGCCTGACGTGCTGATTTAATTTGCGAGTACGTCGCCACGTAATGTTAATAGCAATGTTTGGACGTAACGTATTCCGCGGACACGTGCGCGTCGTGAGTAATAAGTTTATGCACCAGACATTGCGTGTTCGAGCGGGACATACGAGCCACCTCGGGAACTTGATTCATCCGCGCGTACGATAAATAATAAAATCTCAGTTAATACTTATTCCGATATTCACAGCACAAGAACTCGACTTTCGTCCGATCCGAGTCGTACGACGTGCAAAACATCGGCGCGCGTCGCCAGGCATGACGGACGACACCTCTCTGCATAACAGTGCGCGATACTATATTGTTTCAAACTTGCCGGCTGTATCCCACAGCTTCGCAGCTGCGGAGTGCGATGTCAAAATATTGCGTTAACGATCATTTAACGAGTGTTATTTTGATGAATCGTATATCATCTTTGCGATTCCA